ATTCACTGTCAGCAGCAATCTTAGTGTTTAAGTCACTAAGGAACTGAAGGGTTTAAATCTCTCTGCATGTGAAACCATCTAAAATTATGAAATATAAATAATATATACACAAAATATTATAATCTCTTTTTAGAATTGAAAGGTCTAAAATGTGTAATTTTGCAAGTTTTACTCTAGTGAGATGATAATAAGTATTAGTAATGTGAAAGCATTTGTTTGCTAAGGTAGGTAATTTGTCATTTCTGAACTAATTACCAGAGTGATGCTAAAGGATGAGATGATAAAGGGTTGGAAAGGAGCAACAGAGCAATCCCAAGAGTGAAAAGTATCCCTGGAACTGACTGTGTTTTCAGTAAAGGCTCAAGCTGAATTGCACATAACATTAAATTAAAGAAAAACCAAACACTTCTGTGTAATTTCTTAAAGGTGGCAGCATTTGTGCTTAGTAATCTAATTATTTCAGGGATGTAAGGCATTAAAAAGAACTTTCACGTCTTTATTTTGCAGAATCAACAAGTGAGGAGACGGGACAGAGTGGGAAAGTGCTGCGGAGCAGGACCTGCATCATCAACTACAAGAAGCACATCAAGATGTCCAACGAGAAGAAGAACCCCCGCAGATGTGCCACCCTGGCAGCCAACAAAATTAAGATCATGAGTGATGCCAAGGAAGAATTGTCGAGCTCAGAAAGCGTTTGCACAGTGAAAAAGAACCGAAAGCAGCTCCAAGGCGCCGCGCCCGGGGTGTGCAGGAAGAAGCTGGTGGACAGCGTGGAGGGAGACGCTTCTTTGAGGTCTGAGAATGAGAAAGAGCAGTTTTCTGGCAGGAAAAAACCTTCCTGCCCTGAGTCATCTGCTCCTAAAAGGAAATATATCAGTGAGTCTGAGAATGAAAAAACTGAATCTGAGGCAGAGACTCAAAAGCAGAACCACGGGCAGGCGCATAAATCAGTCTGCGCTGGGGCGCTGAATAATCTTGACTATGACTCTTCAGAGGAGAATTCCACCAACCACAGGGTGGAAAATGGGGGGAGCTGGGGGGTTTCTAGGAAGTCAGCCTCAACCCACAACCACTGTACGAGTAACTCTGAAGAGGAGGTAGATTCTGACTTAGCTAAACCCGAAACTAAAACTACCAGAGTAGCAGCAAATAAAAAATCTCGAGCTTCTTCCAAAAGATCAAAACTGTTGGGTGGCTCCAAAGAAACAACAGAATCTGAAACTAGGGGGAAGAAAGAGGAGAAAAGCTCGATGTCAGAGGACGTGGAAGTGCCTGGGACTGCAGGAAGTTCCAAAGGCAGTTTCAATTGCTTTTCCGACTCGGACTCTGGGACTGAAAACAGCGTCTGCAGCGACGCCACAGAAACGAGGAAGAGGAAAAGGAAACCGCGAACCAGCAGGAAAGAAATCACCAACCCCAACTCCCTGAAGCCTTCCAGGAGAGCCCAGCAGAGGAAACGCTGGAAACCCAGCCAGGAGCACGACTCGGAAGACGTGGAATACACCAAATACCGGCGGGCGAACCAGCGCTCCAAGATCCGCACGCGCAACGGCGGCAGACGGACTGTGCGGTACCACGACGGCGACGACGACGGGGACTGCGACACGTAACCTTAACCAAGGAAAGCCAGCACGCCACACCTTCTGTCTGTTTGTTTGTTTTATTATTTTTTTGTTTTGTTTTGTTTTGTTTTCTTTTGTTGTTTTTTTTTTTTTTAATGGTAATAGCACTAGGACTCCTCCGATGGATGCTGGCTCTTCTTCGTCCTACATTTCAGGGAATATATTTATATTTTTCTATGAAAAAGTTACGAATGTGATTAGATGATGACTTTTCTCCTTTTCGTATTTTTGACTTGCACTTGCCTGCCCATGTAGCAGCATTTAGCACAGATGCCAAAATGTGCCTCATTATAGGGGCAATTTTTTTGTCTTTACTGGTATTTTATTACATATAACAAGAGTTAAAAGATGTTAAAACACTGCAAACAGGTTAATAGCAGTATGTTGAGTATTATTGTTATGGGTGCTGCAATGAAATACTACCTAGGTCATGCAACATTCAAGAACAGATTTCAGACATTTCTAATGCTGTATGAAATCATCTACAATAGTAACAGGCTTCTAAGTAATAGTACACACTAGAAAAACCTGGTTGGATGCAAGCCTTGCATCAAAAGAGGAGTGAGAAGGCTGATAACTTCACAACTTGATTTAGTGCAGATGCTCAAATGTTCTGTACTTGCATTATCGATGCCCAGTTACCAGTGAAGAAGTTGAATTTGCCAATTCCAGAGGCTCTTGGTGCTGGTGAAGAGGGTTCTGCTGACAGGTAGTACTTTGATCATTAATGTGACTTCTATACTGTAAACTTTTAAGATTATGACATGCAGGTGAACTCTTGGGCCTAAGGGTTTTTGTGTGTTTTCTTTATAAAATAGAAAAACAAACAAAACACTTTGTTCTGTTTTCTTTATGCGTGGAAAGGTTGAGGTGGAGGATTCTGACATTCCAGACCTTTTTGCTACTGTTGTTCCTCCGTGTTTCAAGTGCTTGAATGTTAGATTTCCCACTGATTAAACCTTTCCAGTTTCTCATCACTCCAGTTCATCTCCTGTTTTCAGAATGTTTGAGGTGGCTGTTGTTGACAGGAAAGAATTCTTGTGTAGAAAATAGAAAATTCCCCCAGGAAAAACGTGCGAGTTCCTGCTTGAACAGGTATTAACAATGAGAACACACAGCAACTCTAAATTTGTACATTTTCCTTGGAGTTGTGCTGGTGGGAGCCACACAGCCCAGCTCCAGGAAATCTCTGTCCTTTCCCACTCCAGGTTTCCTCCTCCCTCTCTGCAGGTTCCTTTTCCCACACTTGGAAAATGTGGCAGTTCCTGATCTCGTTGTTCAATAGAAGATGTGTTAGAATTAGAATATCAGATTTAGCCTAACCCAGCTCCTTTGAACTGAAATACAGGTTCGTGAATTAGTTTTCCAGCAGATTGGACTGGTCACAGGATCTGGAAGGGCTTGGGGATTAAAAAGTTAGTGCAGCTGCACAACAACAGTCATTAATGGCAGAACTCCCTGTACAAATGGAAGTGGATCATGGAAAAGGGAGTCAGTCAGTGAGAGCCACATCTCCAGCAACCTCACTGACATTGTGTGTATTTACCATCACATCACTCTGCTTTCCAGAACATTATCTCAGCATAGAGAAATAATCTTTTTTTTTTTCCCTTAAAACTTCGATGTGAAGTTCAAAAATAACCTAAGTTAAATCATTTTTGTCCCAGGAAATTTAATTTTGGGCACAGCAGAGTTTTGTAAATTCAAGATAAATGTTTATCTGGATTCATTATTTCGTTTCTAAAATACGAGCACAGTTGTGTTTAGTGATGAAGTTTCAAGGTGGTTTTGTGTATCTTGCCTTTTAGGGGCAAACTTTGTTAAAAGAGTGTTAAGTCCATTGGTATTTTTATATTTTCCATAAACTGCATTGCTCAGCAGCTGCTTAGGATCAGTGTCCTGTGGAGTGCAGCCTCCACCATGGGAATAAATACTGGTACAGGAGCTGTGAAGTGAATGGCAGAGTTTTTATTAATTTTCAGTTTAAACAGCTGAAACTGGGCTGGTAGGTTTGTATTTCTAGTTCAGGCTTAGATTTACTAAGCTGGTTTTCTTTCTCACCCTTTCTCAGATGCTGTATCCTGTCATCCTGCACTCACACATGTTCCTGGTGATCCCTGAAAGCTTTGGGAGAAGGTTCTCTCCTCGGGAATTGTATATCCCAGAGGGAATCACTGGCTTAGGGACCCTAACACTTTATTTTCCAAGCAAAGCACATGCTGCTTTTTATTTCCTAATTTTATACACACAGACAGGTTCCAAAGAGCCAGTGGGAAGGGAAATGGTTAAACTGGAAAGGGATTTTTGACCCTTTGACCTTCTAAGAGTTTATTTATTTTTAATTTATTTAAATGAGCATGCTGACTCTCGCAGAACTGGCAGTTCTTTCACCTTCCTGATTGTTTTAGTCAGCGTTCTTGGTTTGGTCCAGCTGTACTCAGGGAAGTAAAGCAATGTAAAAGTAGGATCTTTATTTAATATAACTTTGGAGGGTGTTTTTGTTTGTTTTAAAGCAGGACCTGAATCTGTGATAGTGAACAGGCAGCATGAACAGAGGGAAGCAGTAAGAAAGTGCAGGACAGAATCATAAAGGAATCAAATTCTTTAGTATTGAAGACTTTTATGATGTACATGTTATTAGTGGACCAAAGTAAAGCTGTTCATACACCTGTCATGTCACTGTGCTCTTCTTTAAAACATGTCCGAGGGCCTTTGGGTGACAACAACCCCAGGAATGCCCCAGGCCGGGGCAGAGGGGATGGGAAAGGCCCTGGGGGTGCTGGTGACAGTGGCTGGACACGAGCCCCGGGGGGCAAGAGCCCAGTGGCACCTGGATCAGGAATAGTGTGGGCACAGCCCCAGGGCAGGGACTGTCCCCCTGTGCTGGCACTGCTGAGGGACCTCCAGGGCTGTGTTCCGTTCTGGGCCCTCATGGAAGAGAGACATGGAGGGGCTGGAGCGTGTGCAGGGAAGGGAACGGAGCTGGGGGAGGGGTTGGAGCAGCAGGAGGGGCTGAGGGAGCTGGGGGGGCTCATCCTGGAGAAAAGGAGGCTCAGGGGGGACCTTCTGGCTCTGCAACCCCCTGACAGGAGGGGGAGCCGGGGGGAAGGTCGGGCTCTGCTCCCAGGGAACAAGGGACACAGGGCGAAACGGCATCGCGTTGAGCCGGGTGGGGTTCGATGGGATATTAGGAAAAATTCCTTCTCGGAAAGGGTGGGTGAGCATCGTAACGATTTGCCCGGGGCGGTGGAGGAGCCGCGTTCTGGAGGCGTCTGTCCCGATGTGGCACTTGGAGAGGCGGTTCCGGGGCGATCCCGCGGGGTGACGGCGGACTCTGGATGAGTGGAAGGGCCCTTCCCACGTGGACGATCCCGTGATCCCGGGAGTCCCTCCCGGGGCGGGGCCGCGCAGGCGCGGGGCGGCCATGGCGACCTTCTTCGGGGAGGTGGTGGTGGCCCCGTCCCGGGCCGGGCTGGACGAGGAGGAGGAGGAGCGGGAGGAGACCCCCGAGGACCGCGAGATCCGCAGGGAGCTGGAAAAGAAAAGGTGCGGGCGGCTCCGGGCGGGGCGGGGGCAGCGCTGCTGAGGGCGGGTGTCGGGACAAGGTTCTTCCCCCAGAGAGTGGTTGGGCACTGACCAGGCTCCCCAGGGCAGTGGGCACGGCCCCAAGGCTGCCAGAGCTCCAGGAGGGTTTGGACAACGCTCTGAGGGACAGGGGGGATTGTTGGGGTGTCCTGTGCAGGGCCGGGGGTTGGACTGGGTGATCCTTGGGGGTCCCTCCCAGCTCGGGATGCTCAGCGAGTGTTTCCGCAGGGAGATCGAGGTGCTGTGGTGCGGGCTGGCCCAGGAGCCCTTGGCGTGCTCCAGGTTCGTCGTGGCCATAGGGCGGAACGCGGCAGGTGGGTGTGGAACCGGCCCGGGGGGGGATCGAACGCGCTGCTGGTTTGTGTGGGGGAGAGTCTGAGGAGGTGGGAGGGAGGTGTGGGTGTGCCTGGACTCTGCCTTAGTCTGTTTTAACATCGATCTCTGCTGGAAGAGTGGTCCTTAAGAGTAGAATCATGGAGTGGTTTGGGTTGGAAGGGACCTTAAACACCATTCAGCCCCACCCCCTGCCATGGGCAAGGACACCTTCCACTAGCCCAGGTTGCTCCAAGCCCCGTCCAACCTGGCCTTGGGCACTTCTAGGATCTAGGGATCCAGGAGCAGCCAGAGCTTCTCTGGGCAACCTGTGCCAGGGCCTCACCACCCTCAGAGGGAAGAATTTCTTCCTAAAATCCTATCTAACCCTTCCCTCCTTCATCTTAAGACCATTCCCCCTTGCCCTGTCACTCCATGTCATGGGGAGTCCCTCTCCATCCCTCTTGTAAGCCCCCTTTCGGTATTGGATGTCCAGCCCCTCATTTAGGAGCAGAGTTTTAACCCAGAGCCAAACTTACTCTGTACATATAAAATACGCTTTTTGTGCCAGCTGTTTATTCCTCCTGAAAACTGATGTATTTTCAGGTGAAGGGCAGAAGCAAAGTGTTTTGGGTTGGGCTTTTATTTGGGACAGCTCCTCTGTCCCTTTACCTGACTTTTGTTTGGTAAACTCTCCTGAATTTATCCTTTAATTGGCAAAAGTTTTCTGCTGATAGTAGTAACTTGCTCAGTGCAGTTTAGTCTTGTGAAACAAGGATCTGTCAAATATGGGTCAGGAAGCTGTAATTTCTTTAATTTCTAATGGGCAGTGTTTTGGGGGGGGGTTAAACTTTTGTTTTCTTGCTCAGTCAGTCCCTTTCTCACATTCCAGTTCTAACATGCCCTCTTTTGGGGTGGTTGTTTACTCATCAGGCCTAGAGGCTTAAAGCACCCTCTGCTCTTCCCACACACACCTAAACTGGAGGGTTTTTTGGTAGCTGTTTCCCTGTGGACATGAAGAAGTTTTAAGTCTTGCTTGCATTTATGTCCCATTTAGATGGCATTTAGTTTATATCCAAGTTTACTTGTTTGGTTTCTGTTCAGGTTTTTCCTTGAAAAATGGTAATAGATGTTCTGGATCTGTCTTCTGTAGCTTTTGACAGGAATGTGATTGATTAATATATTTGCCATACTCTTTGCTTTCTAGAACCAGTGTAATAATTCTGCTTCAGTGATTTTTATATTTAATCTGTTATATCTGGTATGTCAAGAGGTGTTAGAGACTTAATATTCACAGCCTTGGTTTATACTAAAGGAATTGAAGTTGACTGTAATGGTATAATTCCTAAGAACACAATTTTTGATATTGTGGATCTCTATATGTAGAACTGCTCTTTATCTTACAAATTTTGATACAGTGGGGTTATTAATATTGTTGATCTCTCCTGGATTTTGCCATTAAATGTATATTGATAAAAATGAGTTATTTTTACTTCAGATCGCAAAGGGATAATCTAATTCAGGTATTTATTTGTGCAGCAGAGATTTTATTACTTGTAAGTTGACGGTATTTGTTGGGTTTTACAGCTTTCCTGTCATCTTTTATTCTGGATTCTGTGTGCTGGGAAGTGGTTGGAGTGGTGAAGCTGTGGAATGAGTGGTGTCGAACATCCAGCACCACAAACGTCCTCCCCACAGATTCTTTCTGTTTGTTCTACAGATTAATATCAGACCCCACAGTAAGTGACTTAAACACTTGTTCCTCTGTGTTTTAGCTCTGTTAAAATGGGAGCAATTTCGTCCTCCCACAGAGTGTTCAGGCTGCAGGGTTCTGGATGAATCTCATCTAAAACTGTGTGAAGTTCTGCTGTGTGAAACTCAGTCCAAAGTGAAAAATCCTCGTTGAAATAGAGTTAAAAAACCCCCAAATGACTGAACAAGCTGTTGTCTGCAGCCACATCACTTTCACACATGATTATGATCTGTTGTTGTGCCTTTTAAACTGTTTGTTTACACCATTTTTTAATTTTTTTCAAGGTTCTGTTGTGCCAGTGTAGTTGTTACGTGGCTGAGGATCAACAGTTCCAGTGGCTTGAGAAGGTAAAACTGGCAAGACAATAAACTGAGTGATGAAATCTCAGGGGTGGGGATGTTCAGCTTAGTGTGAGGGCCTCTTCTCTGATATTCTGAGCATGACAGTGTTGGAAATAACTTTTCCCAGTGGCTTTCTTTGTTTTAATATCCAGCAAATGCAGGGATTTACTCCCTGCAGATTCTGTGGAGTCTCTTTCCAGATGCTGCCAGTGGTATCTGCTGTAACCTCCCAGCTCAGTGCAGTTACATCTTTTGGACAATTTTCCAACCCCTTTTTCCTGTTTGGCTTTAATTTTCCAGGGCTTATTTCAGCTGCATTTCAGCTCCTGGAGGATCATTCCTTAAAATAACCATAACACAGCTGCATTTGTGCAGCTGCCAAGGAATCACCAGCCAAACCTGTTGGGAGAATCCCGAGGGATGGTGTCTCTTAATGGGTGTGTTCTGTGCCTTTCACAAGGAGCAAAGTGCCTCCAAAGCAGCATTTATCCCACTTTCCTCTAGATTTAATATTCCTAGTGCCTCCCCTCAGCATCATTCAGGTACAGAAAGGCTGCTGGGTCCATCCAAGTCCCTCCAAATATCATCATGTTGGTTTTAATAAGATAAAAGCCGGGGGTGAATGTTGTGGCTGCTGATTTTCTTGATGGATTTGGGTCACTGCTTTGCCTGAGGGAAGTGTGGCTTATTTTGTCTTGCTGTCTGTCTGCTAACCTGCCTCCCCACCTTGAAACCTCTGCTGGGCTGAAGGACAGGCAGAGATTCTAAAGCCCTTTGTGTGGGGCTGGGGATTAAGTCAGGCTTAGAAACCCTGAGGCCTAAAACACTGCGGGTTTGCTGTTTTCCACACCTTCTTGCACTTGATTTAAACTGGGATTGTGAAAGAAAGGTGGCTGTGGTTTCATTCTCTTCCCCATTTTGTGTTTCTCCAGCTGTGTGTGGATATGTGTGATTTCCAGTGTGGCTGTTCAGGAACAGTGTTCCTGAGTATTTTTAGGCTTCGTGGTTCTTGGTGGGTTTAACTGCGCAGCAGAAATGTTGTGCTGGTGATCTGTTGCTTTTAATGTGAATTACAGACCTGTCCTGTGTGTAAACCCTGATTAACTGAGCAACTTCAGTCTCCAGGAGGCAGATTTTTGCCTCTGTGTGTGTGTTCTCTCAGAAAAGGGATCACTGGGAAATGAGGACACACGGGGTTTTGCAGTTGTGCATTCCAGCCAGTGTTCCCAGCATTCCAACCAGCATTCCCAACAAAGCAAATGGAAAATATATGGGCTTTTCTATCAGTTTTCTACTACACTAATGTGAGGGGACAGGTAACTTCCCTCCTGTGATTGGGGCATAGACAAAAACAGGCAAGTTTCTGTCACATCTAAAAAATTCCCTATTTCCTTCTCTTGTGTTGGTGTTTTTTTTGATGGCAAGCAATGAATCCAAGAGAATGTTTTGTACAGTGGCTTTAAAACTCTCTTCTTTGAATTTGAGGAAAACTGTGGAAAATTTAAAGTCCTCTTTCTCCATTCAGCTTGAACAGAATTAAATCTGAGTGTTTAAAATAAGGACTCTTTTAGTGTTGTAGAACATCTGGAAAGCACAGTTCCCATTTCAAATGTCCTGCAGCTCAGCGAGCTGCCTGCTTTCATTTGGAGTCCTTTTTTCTTCCCACAATCACCACGAATAAAAGTAGTAAGTATTGATATATTTGCAGTGCTGAAAACCTAAAAAATCTCCAGAAAATCACTAGGCTTGGTAAATATTTTAGCTGTTCTTTTGGGTGGGGTTTTTTTTATGTTCATGCCAAGAGAAGTGCGGGGCAAATTTCTACCTGAAAATTTCCGATTCAGATTGTCCTGCAAAGTTAAACTGCCCTTTGCTCTGAAATGAAAATTAATATTTGGGTTTCAATGCTGTCACTGAGAAGATAAATTTTCCTGATGTATTTTTTTGGTTTTTTTTTTTAATTCCAGGTTTTTGGCTCCATGCAGAAGGAAGGTTTGCAGGTAACCATCCTTTCAACGTGCCCCGTGGCTGATTATAAAACTCAGGAATCCACTTTAACACTTGCATCTCCGTTCCTGAAAGCCTTGAAGACCAAAGAATTCCAGGAGCAGGTTTGCTGCCCACTGCTGGAACAGCCCAACATTGTGAGGGATCTTCCTGCTGCTGGTATTTGGCAATTATTTATGATTCCAGTTATTTGCAATTCCAATTATTTACAGTTCCAGTTATTTATAATTCCAGTTATTTACAAGCAAACACAAAATTCACTTGGAGGAACATCCCATGGCAATTAGAGTTCTTATTTAAGCATGTGAACTGGCTGAAAAGTGACCTTTTTGGATAATTAATCCCTGAAGTTTTCACATCTTACCCTGGAAAAATAAGGATGAATTTCAAAACCACCCACAAATCCTTTTACCCCTCAAGTGTGGGACAGAAGTACTGGAAAATTCTTCATTGTAGCCTCACAAAGCACATTGTACATTGGGTTTTTGGGAATTTTACTTATGAACTAAGTAGGTTTTATTAAGAATTACTTTCATCTGAGCATCCAAGTAAAAACTCATAAAGTTATTTCTGTATATTAGAGGTAACATTTCAAAATGCTACTGATTGACCTCATGCAAAAGTTAAATTCATTTTTATTATATGATCTAATGAACCCCTCAGGCTTTTACTTTAGAATAAAATAATAGCAACATGAGGAAAAACTTGTCTGGCAGGAGCTAAAAGTAGATGATTTTATCTCGTTCACACTTTTTTTTTTGTACCTGTTTGGTTTTTATTCTTTTTTTTTTCTTTTTTAACAGAAGCTCCTGTTATTTTTCTTTACCACTAATACACATTTTCCACTTAATACACAGTTTATTTACCAATAATACCCATTTTCCAGTTAAAGCATTTGCCAGGAAGAAACACCAGCTGCATTGAACTCATTTTTGCTGGTTTATTTCCTCGTGTTCCTGTGGGATGAGAGGTGGCTGGAGCAGTTAATTTATAAACTTCCACGTGTTTCAAGCTGTCATTTTTTATACACAGAGCTGAGATTCCTTCTCAGCTGAAATTAAAACCCGTTTTCTTTTCCTTTTGGTTTAGTTTTGAGTTACTGCCAGGTCTGGCAGATCCCTGCAGTGCTGTACCAGTGCTACACTGATGTCATCAAACTGGACACGGTGACAATTGAAGCCTTCAAGCCTCTGCTTTCTTCTAAAGTCCTCAAGAGTTTAGTCAAGGTAAAATCAAAATTACTGGGAGGTTTGAGCTATTTCTGTGTGTCTTTCACCTCTTGCATTCTGCTGTTGGTGAAGATTCCATCTGAAAAGGCAGAAAAATACGGATTTTAGTGACAGGGGACGGTGATTTCTGGAATTGTGCCTGCTGTGACATCTGTGCTCTCAGAAATAATGAATCTACAGGTTCCCTCAAAACTTCACTTTGACTTTTCAGGCTCCTGTAGGAGCAATAACATATCAGGGAGTGATTTTTTTTTTTTGTGCATGTTTAAGCTGCAGTTTCCTTTGGAGAAGTGTCTCATGTTAAAACCTTTCTGTTTTCATGGCTTTTCCCATCCTACATTCAGGGCCCTGTTCTACCTCTGTGTCTTGTGCCACACATGAAAGCTGCTTAAAACACTCATTTTGACCTGTAACTTCTTTTTGGAACTAAAAGAATGAATTTCTACAGATGATTCCCAACATTTTTGCACCAATCAAGCAGCTGTGAAATCGGGGCATTACTAAAGTGACTGGTTTGCTTCTTTCTAAATGTTTTTAATTGGAGTATGGTTGGTTCAAAACACTCAGTTTTACCAAGTGAACTTATATTTAAATGGTAAGACAGGTCTGTGTGTACTGAGATATTTATTTCAGCTATAAATGTGGGAATTGCAAATTAACTTTTTTCAGTACAGCTTATTCTGGTTTGCTGAATAAATCTGACTGTACATAAATATTTAAACTCTGAAGGAGAACAGTAACAAATACTCAGGTTCTTCCTCTCCTATCCGAGTGAGGAGGGATGCAAAATAATAAATCCCATTTTATGGCTGAACTGCAAATTCCTGTGGAGCCTTGAGCAGGTTTTGCTCACAGTTACTATTTTAACACAGTTAATATTTTAATAAAACTGGTATTCAGAGGAATAAAAATGGGAATAGTGGGGCTTTTTGGGTTGGTTTTGTTCCCAGGAATGTGGTTAATCCTGATCATCTCTTCCCTTTTCCAGGATGCATCTGAAAGCACAAAGATGTTGAAGAAGTTCCTGACAGCCACTGAAAGCCACAATAATATCTATATTTAACAAGGACATTTGTGCCACAGGCTGCACTTTTGGAAACTCCAATTTCTTCTAGAGAAGACTTTTGGGAATTTTATTTTTTTTTCTTTAAAAGTAGAATAAATTCCAGGAGGTTTTTACTTCTCCACTCGTTTTTGTTGCTTTCAGCTTCATCACTGCAAACACATGGATTCCTTCTGCCTGGCTTGGGAGACTGCATTCTGGAGTGACTTCAGGAAAGCAGCTTGTTATTCTCCTCCTGAAGGGATTGTCTTACCTAAATATAAATTAAAAATTGCATATAAACTCCTTTTATATGGAAAAGAGGACATGCAGTTAAGGGATGTCCTTAACTGCATTTTTAACTTTATTTTTAACTTTATTTTCAGTCACAGAGTATTTTCTAATATCTGATGCTCTTTAAAGGTTTGGCTGTGATAAAGAAGATACACTCTGTGCCCTTTTACATCCATAAATATATATAATTTTGTTTGTGTGTCTGCACATACTTTTTTAATGTATGTGTTGATACAAAATACAGTTAGTAAAGCATGGAAAATGCCTTTTAAAGACTTAAATAACCTGGTGAAACGGGCTTGCAGGATCACAAGCTGCTTCAGCTCGATTTGCCAGGACAATTATCCATTTTAAAGCTCCAAACTTTTGGCAACAGTAGGAATAGTACAAGATCTGCAATGCAGAGCTTGTGATTTTTAGAGGAAAATAAAAATTCAGGTTTTAAAGTGTCTCAGAAAATTCTCTGGAAGTTGGTAACAATCTCAGCAGTTTATTTAAAATATTTGCTCGGATTGAGGTGCAGTTCTGAGTTTTTCATGCTCTGTTTAATTTAGCATTTTGTTTAAGGAAGTGGCATTAAAAGTGGTGTTTGTGTTGCTCCCAGGGGAATTCTGTTCTCTGAGTTTAACTTTACACTGGAGGCCCAGTTCCTTTAAATTGCTGTTCATGTTATTGCAGAGAAGCAAGAAAATGTTGCTTCAAGTGCTGCTGGATTTTGGAACTGGATTTTGGAGCAAAGCCTGAAGTGCAGGCCATGGTTCCTTCTGTGGTTTTTTGGGTTTTTTTTCCCACTTCTGTCCATCATTTTAATCCAAAAACGGTTTCTTTGAGTGAGCTGAGGGTTCTCTTGCTCTGAAAGCTGCACATTGGCTGCACCATTTCCTTACTTGTACCTGTTTGGTTTATAATAAATAAGGTAGATAACCAAAAATATCTTTAATAATAAAAAATGCAGGCTCTTTTAGGAACTGTGAATGTATTTCTGGTTTCGGTGTGATCACCCAGGCAGTTTGCAATCTCTCAGAATAGTTATTTTATTATAAATAATTCAGTTTTTGCCACCTGGGTTTATGCTGAGGTGTGAGAATGCTCTTAAACACCTTGAAGAAAAGTAACAAACAAAACACTGGCAATTTGGGAGATGAAATTACACTGAAAACTGGTGGATTGGCAGAATTCCTCAAGGGTTAATTATTCCTGCTTCCAGGGGTGTGACAGCTCTGCACAGCTGCAGGTGTTTATGTAGGATGTGGTAAGTAAGTACTATAGGGCAGTGAAATAAGATATTTTAATTTAAAATTCTGTCTCTTTCCAGAATTTCATGGGTATTTTAATTTAAAATTCTGTCTTTTTCCAGAATTTGTTGTGGGAAGCAGTTCTGGAATCAGAACTAATGATGCCCATGTATCTCATAAGATGTGAAGATTTTTTTCATATTTGAATGTTGCTGCTTTTTTTTCCCCCTTCTCTGCTCTCCAGTACCTACCAAGAGCCTGCAATAAGGCTTTTCTTATTTTTTATAATATTAATAATAATAAATTTAATACTTATACGAGTCCATAAACTTAGAACTTGTCAAATGTGGCAGGTGGCTTCAAGTCTGTGTGTCTGAAATCTGATGGTTTAAGACTTGTTTCCTTAAGGGCTTTGCTAAATGCAAATAATGAAACCAGAGAGAATAAACTAAGACTGGAAGAGGGTTTTTTCCCCAGTTTTTAAAACCATCTGAGCCACTTGGGACCTTTTTTTAGATGACTCTGACATTTCTTCTGCTGAGTGTCTTCCAAATGTTCAGCATCTTTTCAAATCTACTCTGCTTTGTCTTGCTACAGGATAGATTTGTAGGGAGATGTGTCCTCCCATTCCTCAAAGGTTCTGACTCCAAGGGGATGTGCCTGACCTAAAAGTCCTGGGATTAAAGCCCCTTTATTGAGGCTTTATTGAGCTTTAGGCTTGGAACACGTTGGAACCTGTGCAGTTCAGGTGTGTGAGTACAGGACTGTACAGACACAGGTAAAGGGGATGTCCAAGCCAGGAAATCTGGGATTTATCTGAATTTGTCCCAAAATCTCCCTGTTTGAATGCCAGAACAGTGATCTTGCTGCCGCTCTGCTTCCATTCTTCCCATGGTTGTCGACACAAACAGCACAGTGACTCTCCAATAAAATTCTTGGAATCTGTTGAAAATCCGTGAGGAAAACAGGCCCTGCTCTGCTCCCTGAGCATTCCTCTATCCCATGAGGTTCCTCCTGGATTTGACATGATGGACCAGTTTTTCCTGTGCATTTCTCCCTCCTGTGAGCCCTCAGCAAAAGCCCTTGGGCCGTTCCCAAAAAATGAGCCTGAATGTTCCTGTTGGAGCCCAGGCCTTGTGGCACTGAAGGAGGGGACGTTGGAGCTCATGTCCTGAGGGTTGGTTTTGGTGGCTGATTCCTACCTGGGAACATCCTTCCTGAACCTTGTTCCTGTGCCTCTGTGTCCCCCCTGCACAGCAGAGATGGGGGAGAAAAGAGATTTATTCTTTTGTCAATCCCTCCTTGGTGTTGCACATGGAATCATGGAATGGTTTGGGTTGGGAGGGACCTTAAAGATCATCCAGTTCCACCCCCTGCTATGGGCAGGGACACCTTCCACTAGCCCAGGTTGCTCCAAGCCCTGTCCAACCTGGCCTTGGACACTTCCAGGGATGGGGCAGGCATGACTTCTCTGGGAATTCTATCCCAGCCCCTCACCACCCTCACAGGGGAGGATTCCTTCCCAATATTTAATCTACCCTCTTTCAGTTTAAAACCATTCCCCCTTGTCCTGTCACTGTCTGCCCATACAAAAAGCCCTGCTCCCTCTTTTTTATGACCCCCTTTAGGCACTAGAAAAATTTGTATTTTGGGAAAAGGCAAGAATTTTGTTCAACCTCATATTCTTTCTGATTTTTTTCAAATGTTCTGTTTTGTGTCGAGAACGTTGACAAATCGAAACGAGCTAAGAATAAAATCAAAGTAGGAGAAATTAATGTTGAGGGTTTTTTTTCAGTGCCATCAGATTTTTTTCCCCTTTTTCCCCTTTTTGGCAGCTGCTGAACATCCCAGCAACCAACATGAGCAGGCACCTCCGTGCAGCTCAGGGAGATCAGAGCTCTGAGGTCAGACTTTAGAGAAAACACTGAGATTCTGTTGATAGATCTCCTGGAATGGCTGATGAGCAAAAAAGTACTTGAGAATTCCCTACAATAAATACTGTGGGAAACCATTAACTTCAGGGATAAAAATGCAGAGCACTTGTTTGACATCAAGGCATCCTGAGGTGTCTTCGGTGAGGGAAGAACACAGACCCCAAACAGTGCACGTGGAAGAAGGTTAAAAATGCTGAATGACAGGCTAAAGTCAAGTTTTTTTACTTTCAAATAGTTCTATAACCAAATGTTTAAATGTTCTTTGTGGGGGATATTTGGGTAATGGCTTTAAAAGAAAAAATGTTTTGTAAGAATGGTGATGCACCTTCAAAGGGCAGTTATTTAACATAAAGCATTTACTGAAAAAAACCATTTGTTCCTCCCCTGAGTTTGAATCAGAGGATTATAATGTGCTTTCATAAGGCAAAACCACTGTGCTTCGTATTCAGGATTGATATTTGAATTCTGTGAGGTCTGATTTGGACTTGGATCCCTTTTCATGAAATAAAAGCCATCCTTTTTCTGTCAGCTCCAGAGACTTTTAAAGCTGCTTCGTAGGGAATGAACAAAAAGGGGAATGAATAACAATAATAGTCAGGATCACTAAAGGCAGCAGTTTGATTACTGAGCAGATGAGCAGTGAATGTACAGCCTTGCTTAATTTAAAGGGAAAAAAAAAACCCCAAAGCAAACCTGTGGGAGGAAAGGTTGTGTGAGAACAGAGGCAGCCACCATGGAGAGGTGAGAGCGCAGCAGAGGAAACCTGAGCACTGATCATCCTGTAAAATTAGGGTTTGAAAGGGTTGTTGTGAAGTAGAAGCAGGTTGTGGAGTGGGTTTGCTCTTCCCTGCTGCCCTGAGCAGCATTCCCACAGGAATGCCTTTGTGCTGCTCCACTTAACTTGCTTCCAGACTGGAATTAAAAAGCTATTTTTGTGCAGAATAAGCACAGTGAGAAGTACAAAAGGCTGTGCCTGCCTATTCCCACCCTTCAACCCTGGAGGACACTTGCAAGAGACCCTTTGGCTGCTGCCAGAAACAAGGGGGGTTCTTCTCTTCATTCCTTAGAAAGTGTTGGTCCAAAACTGTCCAACTTGAATCCAGAATTAAGAATTCCCAATGTAGCTCCATCAGGCTGTTGGCTTTCCTTTTTCCAAGTGGAAACAAGCACATTTGGGATAACCTTTTACTGCCATGTGTGAGGGGGAGATGCTCTGCAACAGTGGATTCAGCAGGAAAGATGATTCAATGCCTGCTCTTAGAGTTTTTAGTTTTTCATGTGCTTCCAATTCTCTATGAAGACAGAAATATGAAAGTGTATGTGAGGAATATTTCCTTTCAGCAACTTTTAAAATTTAGTAGGTCTTTTTTTAACAAAAAATAATCTGGATGGGGTTTATAAATAGACTTTGTGTTGTGGGAAGCACATTTGCTATGTTTATGGACATGGATTTCATCTCCTACAAGGCTCCTTGCAGAGATATTTCCATTAAAATCCAAATGTGAATGCTTCACTTTTTCACTAACTTCCAATTCAATAATTGTCTAAGAAAAATCTGGATGAAAATATTCCCCCAAGTCAATGCTGGAGATCAAATTTAGTATCAGTTTTGAGATGGTTTTTGACTCTGTTTTGGTTGGAGCTCAGCTGTCTCTGATGTTATTTTAGTTAAAGCAGTAAGTTTTGTACTTCATAGAATCACAGCATGGTTTGGGTTGGAAGGGACCTTAAAGATCATCCAGTGCCACCCCCTGCCATGAGCAGGGACACCTTCCACCAGCCCAGGTTGCTCCAAGCCCCGTCCAACCCGGCCTTGGACACTTCCAGGGATCCAGGGGCAGCCACAGCTTCTCTGGGCAACCTGGGCCAGGGCCTCACCACCCTCACAGCAAAGAATTCCTTCCTAATTTCTAATCTAACCCTGCTCTCTCTCAGTTTAAAACCATTCCCCCTTCTCCTGTCACTCTCTGTCTGGATAAAATGTCCCTCTCCCTGCTTTTTATGACCCCCTTTAGGTATTGGAAGGCTGCAATGAGGTTTCCCTGGAGTCTTCCCTTCTCCAGGCTGAACACCCCCAGCTCTCCCAGCCTGTCTCCAGAGCACAGGGGCTCCATCCCTTGGATGATCTTCATGGCCTCCTCTGGACCAGAGTGAGACCTCAGGTGATGCTGGAGGTGCTTCTCGAGATGATGGGAACACCGTGGGACAGAGGGAACCAACTGTGGAACCTCTCATCCCACAGCAACACAGTGAGTGCTTCCCCCAAAGGAGGCACAAAAATTTCTGCACTAAAACCCATTTTCTGTGGCCTTCAGAGACAGCCCAGCAAAACCACAGACTGCACCACTGGGTTTTCCTGGGCTGGTGTGAATCCTGCCCTTCCTCCAAGATGGAACCCTGCACTCTGCAGGGCAGGCAGGAGAGTTCCTCTTCATTCCATACAAAGCTACCCAAAACAGGAATAAACACCCAGTCTTACCTGTGAAGAACATGCAGGGCTTTTTAATAATCACATTTGTTTAGTTTTCCCTCGTTTAGTTTTCACTTGTTGAACAAAGCAGCAGGATCAAAAGCAGTTGTCTGACTCTGCATTACACTTGCAGGGCTGTGCTTGGAGTCAGATGTTAAAATTAAGCTCAGTCGGGGAAGGTCTTGACTTGATCAGTGTGGGGCAGAGAAAGTAGTGCTGTAATGCTGCTGGAAAAGGTCACTTGTCTGAAAGGAAAGTAGCTTTCCTTGGATTTTACATCCCTCCTACCTCGGGCGTGCTGCTGCCACAGCTGTAATGTTTGGGAAGTGGCCTTTAATGTTGGAGCTTCCCGGGAGCCAGCCTGGTGTTTTCCAGCATCCACATGTGGCTTCCAGACTTTCAAATCCAATCCATGTTATGAAAATGCACAAGTGTTGAATTTAAACCATATTTTAATAATTTGGCCACCTGTACAATATCCTAATAACCTTTAGAGAACCTGAGAGCCTCTGTAAAATTATTCGGAGCAGATGTTAAATCTTTGGTGTATTCTACACGTTTACACGCTGGGGGACAGAGACTGAACATTGCCCTCACAAAAATAACCCAAAACATATTTATTTCAAAGAATTAGAAGGGTTCAGAGCAGGAAGTGGGTGCAGGAAGCTCCATCCATTGTTGTGGTTTGTTTTAAAGGTGTGTTCAAAATGAGACGATGAAAAAAAGGTTTTGGTTGTTACTGCAGTTGGACAGAATTATTTGAGTGTTTAAAAGATAAAAAGCCTTTTTTTTTAATATGTATTTTGTTCCAATAAGTTTCTCAGCTGTTGTTTTTTCTAGCCCAGCTTTCTTTTTTATTACTTTAAGTACACTTCAACTCTCCAGCTTTAAAGATGTCATTACAGGGCAC